GAGCCTCTGTGGCACAGGTAATGGGTGTATCTTCCAATCTACTCTCCTCTTCTTCCTGAGTCCTAGAGTTCCTGATTTTCATGCAAGTATGTGGCCACCCAGAGAGAGGGGGAAATTTCCCAACCTCCCCTGCAGCAGGTACAGTCACACAATTAAGTACAAACTGCCCATTAAGATGAAGCCAAAGTGTAACACTGTGACTCCCAGAACCTGCCTTAAAAGACAGCTGCCACATGCCCTTTATCCTTTTTTTCACCCTGCTGCCTGGAAGGCAGATGTGATGGTTGGAGCTCTGGTCACCATCTTGGAATACAAGTACAAGTACAAGTGCCATACCTCGTGAGCTGGAAGGAGCCTGGGTCCCTGAGAATTCGGTGGAATGGGGTTGTCATATGGATTCAGGATTTTTACACAAGAAAGAGATAAACTTCTACCTTGCTTAGCCACTAATTTTTTAAACATTGTTTGTGAAACTAAATCTGGTTTTAGTGCACAAGTTTATTTATTATTTATTTATATAAATTTATTTTTTATTTTTGGCTGTGTTGGGTCTTTATTGCTGCACATAGGCTTTCTCTAGTTGCAGTGAGTGGGGGCTACTCCTCGTTGCGGTGTGTGGACTAATTGTGGTGGCTTCTCTTGTTGTGGAGCATGGGCTCTAGGCGTGGGCTTCAGTAATTGTGGCGCACAGGCTCAGTAGTGGCACAGGGCTTAGTTGCTCTGCGGCACGTGGGATCTTTCAGACCAGGGCTCGAACCTGTGTCCCTTGCTTTGGCAGGTGGATTCCTAACCACTATACCACCAGGGAAGTCCCAGCCACTATTATTTTGGGTCTCTGTTAATGAAACTTAATCCTGATAAAGTATTTATTAAAAATAACATAGGTTGAGGACTTCCCTGTGACGCAGTGGTTAAGAATCTGCCTGCCAATGCAGGGGACAGGGGTCTGAGCCCTGGTTTGGGAAGATCTCACATGCCGCGGGGCAACTAAGCCCGTGTGCCACTACTTAGCCCGCGTACCACAATTACTGAGCCTGCGTGCCACAACTACTGAAGCTTGCGTGCCTAGAGCCCGTGCTCCACAACAATAGAAGCCACCGCAATAAGCCTGCACACCGCAATGAAGAGTAGACCCCGCGCTCCACAACTACAGAAAGCCCTCGTGCAGCAACGAAGACCCAATGCAGGCAAAAATAAATAAATTAATTAAATAAAAAAAATAACATAGGTTGAGCTGTACACTTATGGTTTCTGTACTTTTCTATATGAAGTATCTCTTAAACTTTACATTAAAACAAAAATTCACTGCTAGTGAAAGAAGCCAGACACAGAAGAGTACATATTGCAAACTCCATTATAAAAATTCTATAGTGTACAAAAGCAGATCAGTGGCTGCTGGCTTGGGAGAGAGGGGTGAACTATAAAAAGACATATACGTGGGCTTCCCTGGTGGCGCAGTGGTTAAGAATCCGCCTGCCAATGCAGGGGACACAGGTAAGCCCTGATCCAGGGAGATCGCACGTGCCGCGGAGCAACTAAGCCCGTGCGCCACAACTACTGAGCCTGCGCTCTAGAGCTCGCGAGCCACAACTACTGAGCCTGTGTGCCACAACTACTGAAGCCCATGTGCCTAGAGCCCATGCTCCGCAACAAGAGAAGCCACTGCAATGAGAAGCCCACGCACCACAACGAAGAGAAGCCCCCGTTCACGGCAACTAGAGAAAGCCCACGTGTAGCAACAAAGACCCAACGCAGCCAAAAATAAATAAATAAATTTACCAAAAAAAGACATACAGAATTGTTTGGGGTGATGGAAATGTTCTGTATTGTGGTGATGATTTTCAGGGTATATACAGCCAACTGTTAAAACCCACTGCATTACATATTTAACTGAATGCAGTTTAACATACACAAATTATGCCTAAATAAAGTTGATATTTAAAAAGGAATACTCCCATAGTGATTAAGAGATTAATTTGGCTAAGAGGTGAAGGACATTCTGAAGCAGTAAGATGCACTGGTACAACATGATTTTGCATTTTGCATTTTCTTTTTCTTTTATCCTTGTAAGGAGCTGTTATCTTTCTTCCTCCTTTTTTTTTTTTTTTTTTTGGCAAGTCAAATGCCATCATGTTTTTGAGCACACAAAAAAGTGTACTTCAGAAATTTTTTTAGTGTGAAGATTACTAAAGGTTGTTAATGTGGAAAAAAAAACATACAAAAAAGTGCATATATGTGTGTAACTGAATCACTTTGTCGTACAGCAGAAATTAACACAACATTGTAAATCAACTATACTTCAATTAAATAATTTTTTTAAAAAAAGTAAAACATAAACTGCTTGAACAGTAAGATCCAGTTTTTGTTTTAAAAAGGGGACCTAACAAATGTGTACTTGCTGAAAAGACTGGCAGGGGAGACAACAAACATTAATAGTGATTATCTCAGGATGTAGGGACTGTCTATCAGTCATTTTCACTTTCTTCTCTACACCTCTCTGTTGTTTGAAACCACCTTTTATAATCAGGAAGAAAACAACAAAATGATTAATTACGTAATCAAAGAAACACATGCCCACTTTCCCTGGTTGGGCAGGCTCTAGCAAGGGAGGGCTTCATTTCATTCAACTGCCTGGACACCAACCAGAAAAGTCAGATCGTCCAAAGTAACAAAAGAACACTGGACTGAATCTTAAAATCCATCATCACATTCTGACCGTGCTAATATTTGCTAAGTTTGAGTCATTTACTCTTTATTTTTTTTTAATTAAATTTTTTTATACAGCTGGTTGAGTCATTTACTCTTTGGCTCTCTTATCTCCTTATCTGTCCAATGGGATAGTTAGACTCAATTACTGCCAAAGCACCTGTTTCTCAGTTTTCAAAACCCCCAGCTCTGATGCAAGCCAGCAGCAGTGATGGTAATTGATCCTGTTTTAAAGGAAAGCCAGGGGACGGATGATAAATGGTCCTCAACCCCCATCTGCCTCTGCCCCCCACGAACCACTCTATCATGGGTAGCGGGAGGCTTCCTGCCAACAGACATGAAAAGCCATGCTCAGTTCAGACACAGGACCAGCATGTGGTCCCATCAGCAGAAACTTCTCCAGAGCCCTCAATCTAGACTCTATCTTCTCCCCTTGCTCCTTTGTTCTGGGCGGGTTCTCACAGCTTCCCCATCGACCACCGAAAATAACCCAGTCACTTTAAGACAGCTCTGGCACACACAGACCATGCTGAGCAATTAGGCCTTCATGGTGCCACTGCTGGCGAGTTGTCATTAGTTTAATGAAGGACTATTAAAAACACATAAAAATCTCAACCAACAAAAATAAACAACACAGCCAAAGCCAGCATCTTAAATGTATAGCAGGCCGTGTGCAATGTGAGAATCTCCCACCAGCATTCAAAAAGATGGACTGGGGCTTCCCTGGTGGCGCAGTGGTTGAGAGTCCGCCTGCCGATGCAGGGGACACGGGTTCGTGCCCCGGTCCGGGAAGATCCCACATGCCGCGGAGTGGCCTGGCCCGTGAGCCATGGCCGCTGAGCCTGCGCGTCCGGAGCCTGTGCTCCGCAACGGGAGGGGCCACAACAGTGAGAGGCCCAAAAGATGGACTGCCTGGGAGCCCAAGTCTTTCGTCGGCTTCAATTTTAAAAATTCTCATTGTATGGAGACGTGACCACATATACACACATGATATTAATTCTACAAAGTGGTTTTCAATTCTGACCAGGAAAAAAGGTGTACACTTTGGAGAAAGCATGGGAAGGCACTCTTTGGACTGGTCTCCCCTGCATTCTTTTGATCTTTGCAATTTTCACCTGACAAAGTGAGGCGAATGCCAGATTACTTAATTTCCTACCCATGGTGCTCAAATTCCTGAAAGGCCGCTTCTGCTACACAAGAAATTACTCAAGTGACTCAAAGGGGTTATCCATTCACATGGAAGCTCTGTATTTTTCCTTTCTTTTTTTTTTCTTTTGAGATGTGGCAGCTAAGGCAGCTCTGATTCCAAGGGGAGAAGGATAAGAAGATGCAGCCCAGCTTCCCGTGGGCTGTTCCCCATAGTCAGGATAGAGGGACCCCAACCACGACTTTTTTTTTTTTTTTTTTTTTGGGTTATGCGGGCCTCTCACTGTTGTGGCCTCTCCCATTTGCGGAGCACAGGCTCCGGACGCGCAGGCTCAGTGGCCATGGCTCACGGGCCCAGCCGCTCCGCGGCACGCCAACCACGACTTTTAAAGGCAGAGGGGAATAAGCCAGGAGCCCAAGACCAAGTGCGGGAACTTCCCTTGACCCTCCCAAGCCACTAGCCAATAGAAGCTGGTTCTTTAATCTGTCTGATCTTTTCCCTTTACAGGCACAGATAAAGCTGTTCTTAGAAAGACCTGTCAGCAGCAGATTGTTTTTTTCCTTCAAAAACAACAACCAACCACACCATCAAAGCAATAGAGTAGCATCATTCAGTGGGGCCAAGCTCCTCTTCCTGCTCAAGACAGTACGTAGGAGAAATGTATAAATTAATAGAATACTTCACTCCCAGGTCAGACTCCACAATCAAAGTAGTCCCTGGCTTTCCAAATGTTAATGCTGTCCATTTCCCAAAGAACAAAACCCCACCCTTCTCCCAGATTTACAAATAAAAGCCAACCATGAGTGAGAGAGGAAATCTAACCGCCAAGGAAAGGCTGGGGCAAAGCAGGAAGTGATAAACAAGGCTGCCAATTCACTATTCTCCCCAGAAGTACGTGCACTGAACACAGAGGCCATTCTTCAGGACTGGCTGCAATGACGCTAGCAGTGGCCCTGTGTGATCACTCCTCCTGTGAGCAGAAATATCAAGGCTGCTTTACCTTCAGAGCACCGCACAGTTCAACCGTGTCTGCGTCATCCACCACTGTAATTCGAAAATTTGGAGTCTGCAGAAGTTCTTTGAAGAGAAGGCCGTTCTCTATTACCTTGCTGCCTATTGAAAGGTTAGAAAAAAGGAAATTAGTAACAGCCTCTCATCTTAATTTTTGCATCTAACACAGTTTAAAATGATGTCTTTTTTATTACAAAAATAACATATTTTCCTGATAGGAAATTTTGGAGAGTCATAGGACTAGAAATAGAAAATTAAAATATTCCACAATCCCACCACAGGATCATTAACAATTTGGCATACATCTTTAACTTACTGAAATAGGAATACACATAGTTTTTCTCAAAATTGAGAACAACAGGGCTTCCCTGGTGGCACAGTGGTTGGGAGTCCACCTGCCAATGCAGGGGAACGCGGGTTCGAGCCCTGGTCCGGGAGGATCCCACATGCTGCAGAGCAACTAAGCCTGTGTGCCACAACTACTGAAGCCCACAGGCCTAGAGCTCGTGCTCTGCAACAAGAGAGGCCACTGCAATGAGAAGCCCGCACACCACAACGAAGAGTAGCTCCCGCTCACCATAACTAGAGAAAGCCCGCAAGCAGCAACAAACACCCAACACAGCCAAAAATAAATAAATTAAAAAAAAAAAAATTGAGAACAACATATGTGACTTCATAATCTGCTTTCCCCCATTTATGGCAGGAATAATTTTCAGTGACATCATACACTTTCTACATTACTTTAAATGGCTGCTTTGTATTTTACTGCATACATGCATTATATTTTATCTAAGCATCTTTCTATTATTTGATATCTAAAACTGTTGCAACTTTTTGCTACCATACATACTTATAAGCTCCTTCCAGGGGAGGAAAGTACATCCCTTTCTACCAGCATTTGGCTTGACCAGAGGATGTGCCTGGACTCAAAGAGGGTGGGACAGATTTCCCCACCCCTTGACCTTGGGCTTAGTCATGTGACTGGCTTTGGTCAATGGGACATTAATAGACCTGACATAGTGGAGGCCTGAAGCCTATTTGTGCAGCAGTAGGGCTGGTTCCCTTGTCCCTCTGCCTTCACTGTGAGAATACATCCTGGCTGGCCCATTGGACTCTACAGGAAGATGAGACAAAGGAGCAGAACGACCCCAGCTTTGATCTGCCAGCCTCCAGCGGACCCACAGCTAACCCGTGTGTTAGCTGTGCTTATTTTGGATGCCACTGAGAATCTGGGTTTGTTTGTTACTTAGCATCACTATGGCAACAAGAGAACTGATACAATATCAACAAACATGTTCCTGACAACTGTGGAAGACGGAAATGCATTCATAGGGTCCTCATTTTTGTTCTGGTTGTATCCCCTCCCTTGGGACCGTGCTTAGAATGACAGAGGATCAGTACTTTTCACATTATTTTTTTGGTTAGCGACTTTCAGTTCAAAACAAAAATAAAACTTTACACATAGAGCCTGATGTGAGATCTGCTCTGGCTGGTGGGATGCGGGGTGGCGCTCTGCTCTGGGAGGGCTCCAGAAATCAGGATAAAATTCACCAGCCAAGACCTAGCTCCCACGTGATGATCTCCACACAGAGCCTGGGGACTATGGCACTTTGGCCCTCCCTGCCTCGAGGTTCTCAAGCCTATTCCCAAGCTTGTTTTCACATTACAATCACCCAGGATCTTTAAAAACACCAAAGTCTGGCCAAACCCCAGACCCATTAAATTACAAGCTCTGGGGTGGAGCAGGCATCACTAATTTCTGAAGCTCCCCGGGTGACTCCAATGGGCAGACAAATTGGCAAACCTCTGATTTAACCTCCTCTAGCCTCATGAGTAAAACACTATGGCACACTCAGGACTGTCTGAGGTTAAATAGGAATCAGGTGTGAAAACAGCCTAGGCTCACAACGATCACACAAAGGTCTATATAATAATAAAAGATAGCTGATACTTACATGCCTATGACTGATTTGCCCCATTGACAGACAGGAGGCCAGAGAGGTTTACCAAGTTGCCCTAGGTCACACAGCTAGTAGGAGGCAGAGCCCCAATTCTAACCTAGTTGCTCTGGCTCCAGGGCCCGCACTCCCTCTCTACACTATGTTCCTCTCAGGGGTGGCAAAAGAGAAGATAAACAAGCAACAAACATCATAATCAGAACTATGGTCTTCCAATGCAGGAAAGAAAAAGAGGATTGTCAACAATCAAAATTACACCCAGAAGTAATATAATGTCAAAATGATCCAGGGGAGAGTGGAAAGAGGGTGGGAAACAGGTGAAATAAGGCCAGCCAGCAGTTAATCATTACTAAAGATGGGCAGTGGTGTCATGATACTGTTCTCCCTACTTCTGTTTGGTTTAAGGAAATTTGCCATCATATAATAAAATGTTATGTTTTTATTTTAACATCTTTATTGGAGTATAATTGCTTTACAATGGTATGTTAGTTTTAGCTTTACAACAAAATGAATCAGTTATATATATACATGTTCCCATATCTCTTCCCGCTTGCGTCTCCCTCCCTCCCACCCTCCCTATCCCACCCCTCCAGGCGGTCACAAAGCACCGAGCTGATCTCCCTGTGCTATGTGGCTGCTTCCCACTAGCTATCTACCTTACGTTTGGTAGTGTATATATGTCCATGCCTCTCTCTCGCTTTGTCACAGTTTACCCTTCCCCATCCTCATATCCTCAAGTCCATTCTCTAGTAAGTCTGTGTCTTTATTCCCGTTTCACCCCTAGGTTCTTCATGACATTTTTTTCCTTAAATTCCATATATATGTGTTAGCATACGGTATTTGTCCTTCTCTTTCTGACTTACTTCACTCTGTATGACAGACTCTAGATCTATCCACCTCATTACAAATAGCTCAATTTCGTTTCTTTTTATGGCTGAGTAATATTCCATTGTATATATGTGCCACATCTTCTTTATCCATTCATCCGACGACGGGCACTTAGGTTGTTTCCATCTCCGGGCTATTGTATAGAGCTGCAATGAACATTTTGGTACATGCTTCTTTTTGAATTATGGTTTTCTCAGGGTATATATGCCTAGTAGTGGCATTGCTGGGTCATATGGTAGTTCTATTTGTAGTTTTTTAAGGAACCTCCATACTGTTCTCCACAGTGACTGTATCAATTTACATTCCCACCAACAGTGTAAGAGGGTTCCCTTTTCTCTACACCCTCTCCAGCATTTATTGTTTCTAGATTTTTTGATGATGGCCATTCTGACTGGTGTGAGATGATATCTCATTGTAGTTTTGATTTGCATTTCTCTAATGATTAGTGATGTTGAGCATTCTTTCATGTGTTTGTTGGCAGTCTGTATATCTTCTTTGGAGAAATGTCTATTTAGGTCTTCTGCCCATTTTTGGATTGGGTTGTCTGTTTTTTTGTTATTGAGCTGCATGAACTGCTTATAAATTTTGGAGATTACTCCTTTGTCAGTTGCTTCATTTGCACATATTTTCTCCCATTCTGAGGGTTGTCTTTGGGTCTTGTTTATGGTTTCCTTTGCTGTGCAAAAGCTTTGGAGTTTCATTAGGTCGCATTCGTTTATTTTAAAGTATTTTAAAATACTTACACCGATACTTAGAAACAAATTTTCAGGACCTCCCTGGTGATCCAGTGGTTAAGAATCCGTGCTTCCAATGCAGGGGTTACGGGTTCGATCCCTAGTCGGGTAACTAAGATCCCGCATGCCGTGCTGTGCGGCCCCAAAATAAACAACAACAAAAAAAGAGACACATTTTCTATTCTACAGGCATTGCTATGATGTCATTTAGCCGAGTTCTCCTCTGTCCAAATATTAGAAGTATGTCTGCTTGAGCAAACTGTCCTCTTCCTTTTTTAAACAGTCCTCTAGACCAGCAGCACCAGTTCATCACCTGGGTTGGGCAAACCAGCCCCGGTCTCACATTGTGATGTTATTCCTGTCTTTTTCCTCTGTCCTCACCGCCACGGCCACTGCCTGGTGCCTCTGACACGAGGGAGGCTCACAAGCGGTACGGACAGGCCCTCACTCCTCCCACTCGAGCCACTTTAATCCAACCATCAGCAGCTGACACATGGCAGGGAGAAGACTGTTCTCCATTTGCCACTGATACAAGGTAGCAACTGTTGGTGCCTCTGTGGCTGCAAATTACACATGGTGTCCATTAGATAGGTGAGCTTGATTTACAGCAATCTTATATTTTCTCAAATTCACCTTTTATTTATTTTTATTCTTTTCCATTATGGATGGAATATATTATATATTGAATATAGTTCCCTGTGCTTTACAGTAGAACCTTGTTGCTTATCTATTTTATGTATAGTAGTTTGTATCTGCTAATCCCAACCCCACCCCCTTTCCTCTTTGGTAACCACTGTTTTCTATGTCTGTGAGTCTGTTTCTGTTTCGTAAATAAGTTCATTTGCATCATATTTTAGACTCCACATATAAGTGATATCACATGATATTTGTCTTTGTCCAACTCACTTCACTTAGTATGATAATCTCTAGATCCATTCATGTTGCTGCAAATGGCATTATCAAATGTACCTTTTAAATTTTTAGATCTTTTATTGTTTTAAATCATGGATAAGAAAGCACTAACTGTATTATTATTACCAGTCATAAGCAGTGATGCAGCAAGCAGGGACCCATGGCACCTGGTCCAGAACAGGGAAGGCCCATCAGCCACGTGGAAGGGCTCCCCAAACTCAATATGAACCAAAAGACAGGAAAATCCCACTTCTCTTCCACACCAAGTTTTGGAGATAACCAACCTATTTAATAAGACTCCTTCAAAACCCTCATCTCAGTCTGTAATTCCCTATTGTTTGTGTACCTAGAAGCTCCTTCTGTATAGAAGGGGCTTATGAATCCTTGACATTTAGCATCATGACTGATCCATAACAGACTTTGAACAATATTTGTGGGTTGAGTGGAAGTCTCGGACTCTTTGAAGTCAGTCCCAAGAAGGAAGGGAGTTCTCACCACAAGGGGGTGCCGCAGTTCCCCATGCTCGTTAGTATTTTTACCAGACACTGAAAATGCCATCTTCCTCCTCCTCCACAGAAGCCTCAAGTGGACTAAGATTTCTGAATCTGTCATAATTAAGTGAGTTGGCTGCTAATGTCATCAAGAAAGGAGACCTGGATAACCAAAGCACAACGATCAAATCCGGAAAATTTAACGTTGACACAATCATCTAACTACAACCCATATTCAAATCTCCCCCATTACCCCAGTGTTGCCTTTATGGCAACCAGGATCCAGCCCAGGATCCTGCGCTGCACTTAGTGGTCAGGTCTCTCTAGACTTCTCCTTTAGCCTTTCAATATCTTCTATGACACGAACATTTTTCAAGAGTGCGGACCAGTTGTTTTGTACCAATGTCCCTTCCTTTGGGCTTGTCTGATATTTCCTCACAATTAAATTCAGATAAAATAAGAAAATTTTTAAAATATCACTTTCCTGTTCTATCTTACTTTCAACAGTTAATTTAATTCAGGTCACTCTTACCAGCCATGGACCAACCCACAGAGAAGGCAGTAAAAGCACTGGGTAAACAGAAGCCAGAGGAAGAGATGTAACTTCTGTGCATTTGTCTGTGTTACACACCAAAAAAGTCTAATGCACCCAAATGGGAGAAACAAGGCCAAGAGGCATGTAAAAATCCTAGCTAAAATCTACAGGTTTTATTTTTATTTTTTTGGCTGCGTCAGGTCTTAGTTGTGGCACGTGGGATCTTTCGTTGCAGCGTGGGCTCTTTGTTGTGGCTCACAGGCTTCTTTCTAGTTATGGTGTGCAGGTTTTCTCTCTCTAGTTGTGGTGTGTGGGCTCCAGGGAACGTGGGCTCTGTAGTTTGTGGCACACAGGCTCTCTCATTGCGGCGTGAGCTCAGTAGTTGTGGCACGTGGGCTTAGTTGCCCCCGGCACGTGGGATCTTAGTTCCCCGACCAGGGATTGAACCCGCATCCCCTGCATTGGAAGGCAGATTCTTTACCACTGGACCACCAGGGAAGTCCCTCAAATCTACAGTTTTGAATCAAGGATTGGAGAAGTCTCAACCCTATAGAATGATTGGTGTAACCAGCCAATCCTAACCAACTGATTAGCAAATTGATTACTGGCAAATAGGATTGAGCTGGAACAACTAGTTAACAATTATTTTTGAAAAATAAAAGTAATTACATAACAATTTGACAGGCTACATTTAAAGCACAGATGAATAAAAGAACTAACTATGAAAGCATAAAACCTATATACAGACTAGCATACATATGAAAATTTTTTTTTTCTGGAAGGATACATAGGAACTGCTAACAGTGATTCTCTTTGGGAAGAGGGAATAGGTGGGAAATTACAATCTTAATTCTAATTTATACCTCCTTGTACTGCTTGAATTTTCTTACCTGTGACTACATTGCTCTTGTAAATATCAACCTGGGTAATGTTATTATAGGTCATTTTGTTTTCCTCCTTTTACTATTTGTGATACCTCTCCTCTCCAAAATTAGTTCCCCCCCCCAAAAAAAATTTTTTTAAGTGCCCAGATAAATGGATTGTCAACAGAATGCGGCGCAACTATGAAGATGTATGCTGATAGAAGTAAATGAAACAACTATAAAAGAGTATATAACAACTACAGCCGTAGTTTGCCACAAATAGAAAAAAATAATGAAATTTGAATGAAATTAAAAATGGTTTTTGTAAGTCAGAGAAAGACAAATATCATATGATACTGCTTATATGTAGAACCTAAAAAAAATGGTATGAACGAACTTATTTACAAAACAGAAATAGAGTCACAGACATAGAAAACAAACTTATGGTTACCATGGGGGAAGGCAGGGGGAGGGATAAATTAGGAGTTTGGAATTGACATATGCACACTAGTACATATAAAATAGATAACTAATAAGGGCCTACATATAGAGCACTGGGAACTCTACTCAATACTCTGTAATTACGTATATGGGAAAAGAATCTAAAAAAGAGTAGATATGTGGGTAAGTATGACTGATTCACTTTGCTGTACAGCAGAACCTAACACAACACTGTAAATCAACTATACTCCAATAAAAATTTTAAAGAAATTAAAAAAAAATGGTTTTCTTTTGATTATCTCTATTTTCCACTGTAATCAGAGAACGTCTGTACAACAGAGCTTCCTTTAACAAAGCTGCCAAGGAGAAATGATTCACATTGCTGGTGTGTTTGACAAGGGTGGAAGTAAGTTCTGGAGTGGTAGGTAAACTTAAATACACTTTTGCAAAGCACCTGCAAACCCAACAGCATTACCCTTCTATGAGTCCTATAATATGGGCACTTGGGAATTCCAAAGCCCTTTTTAAAAGAAACAAATATTTTCACAACACCAATGTGTAAGACTAGGAAGAGCTTTCTGTTTCAAGAAACAGGAGACCCAAGTTCACACCTGGGTTCTATATTAGCTGTGTGACCTTGGGGCAGGTAACTTACTCTCTGGGCCTTGGGCTTATTCACCTGAAAGTGGGGATCATTCCCATTAATTGCTAGATCTCCTTGGAATCTAATGAGGATCCAGATCCTGGCATTTGTGAGTAAAGAAAAGCTGGGTTTCCCTTATAAGAAGAGGTACCAGAGAACTTGCTTTCCCTGATCCCACTCCCCAACCCCCATGTAAGAAGGCAGCTGTCTGCAAGCCAGAAAGAGAGCCCTCATCATAGAAAAGTGTTGGTTAAACCTTAATCTTAGACTTTCTAGCCTTCAGAACTGTAATAAATAAATTCCTGTTGTTTAAAAAAAAAAAAGAAAAGAAAAGAAAAGCTGGGTTTCTAAGGCCCCACCATGGATGTAACCACCTGCTTCTTGGTACAAGTACCCTTGCGTTTTTGTGTTTAACCTCGATAATGCGTTACTGGATCACAGCAGGTCAACATGGTCTCCTTGGCTTTACTTTCACTCCAGAGGTTACTGAAACGCTTCAGTCCCACAGAATGGCCTCCTACATAAAATTCCCACCCCACCGAATGTCCACCCCAAGAATGTTAAGGGCAGGAGGGAAGAGTCCACTACAGAAAATTCCAGAAATGGAAAGTGTGCCTGTTAAGACACCCAACGTCCCTTCCCCAGGTGGCCCTCACCGATGGTGGTCTCGCAGAACTTCCCAGCGGCCACCTCATTGGCAATGTTGGCTCCCATCAACACGCTGATGTCAATGCCCATCTTCTCTCGGATGATGTCAGAAATGAGCTTCAGCCCCTCAGGACCCTCGTCTATGCCCTGCAAGGATGTCAGCAAGTTAGGGGAAAACGAACCACCAAGGACAAGAGGCAGGAGATCAGTGCTTTATAGGTCACCTAGATTCAGACTTCCAATGGCATACGCAACTTGAAAAACCTCTCTTATTTACAACAGTATGTACCATTTAAAGAGTAAAATTAAATGAAAATGTAACCACCCAGGTTAAGAAAGAGAACATGAAGGACACCACTGAAGTCCCCTGTGTCTCTCCCCAAGTTCATCCTCATTATTAGTGTTTCCTGGTCCCCGCCAGGGTGAAGCCCTATCCTGAATGCTTTATGCCCTGTTCCCTTGCTTTTCTTGATCATTTTGCCACATAAAACTACACCTAAACAGTAAGTTATATCAGTATATTTTTGAAAACCTATAAATGAAACTGTACTGCTCACCTGTGTGCTGTTTTGTGCTATATTATTACATTGGAGATTCACCCACACGGCTGCATGAATGCTCTGGTTCATTCCCATTTACTACTGTGTAGTATTCCACCATTCATCTGTCCACTCTATTGATGACTGACACTGAACTGTTTGCTTTCATAAACATTCACCTATGAACACTATGGAACACACTGTCTCACAGAGGGTTCTTCCCCTGGCAGCCTGGGGAAGTTTATGGACTCATTCTCAGACTTCATATGCATAAAGCAAAATACATAAGATTATCCAGGAAGACAATTATACTGAAATATAGTTATCAATGTTAAAAAAAAAATTTTGTGACAAAGTAGTATATGTATGTTATCAATGTAATTATAAAAAGATGTCATGGCAGGTATAATAATTACCATAATTTCCAAGTAGTGATGAGCATAAATGATACTTTGAGATATCTGAAGCCACTGTAAAGTGATTCGAAAATACCTGTAATTTCTACTGATCACAGGGTCAAGGTCCTGCTAGTACTACTGTCATTGAAACTCTGGCCTGTGGCCTTCACTCATAAGCGAAGGAAACGCTTGTTTCAGTTAGAGGTTAAAATGAATAAAAACGCAATTCCGCCCCCACATTTAGGTCCATGAACTCTTGAATTCTATCTGTGGACCACTGTGGGTGGTTTGTGGACTTCTGGCTAAAAACCCTCTCTTTCGGGAATAAACCCAGGAGTGGGAAGTAAAGATGATGCAAGATTTCCAGAGCTGGTGGTTCTTTCTTTGGGGGGCCCCACTCTCATGCCCCCCCGCCCCTGCGAACCCTCTCTACGTAGAAAGCAGCCCCTCCTAAAGGTGAGAGGAGCAAGGCTCATGGATGGCGTGGTTTTGATTCTCTTCCAGGCATCTTTAAAATAACAAATCCAAACCAGCCATAACTTCCCTTCAGCTCCTTATCTCCAAGAGGTGAAAGAGGAAAGGAAGTTCCCAGTAACCGGGGCGCAGCGAGGGCCCATCACCTTGATGAGGGTGATGCCCAGCGCATCCTTGGGCACCCTCCCTGTGATCTCTTCACAGATCCGGTGGATGAACTGGTGGGGGATGACAAACACCAGCAGGTCTGCGTCCTGCACGGCCTCGCCGAGGTTCGCAACGGCAACCTGCGAGGGCGAGGGGGACACGGTTACTCCCAGTCAGAAACACATCTCTTCACGTGCTGACCAGGCATCAGATGCCTCCGCTGTGCAGAGTGACAGTCAAATCAGAGCTGTGTTTGCGCTGCCTTCCCCACTCGGGACGTGCAGATGTGCATCTGAGGCCAGCAGGGTCCTGCCTCTGCTGCTTACCAGCTGGGCGAGTGCCCTACCCTCTCCCCATCTCGGTCCCCTTCCTTGTAAAAGGCGGTCATAACCACCCTGTGAGGTGGTTCTCTGTTGTTCTCCCACCCACCCCCACCCCACCCCCCCGCATCCGTTTCTACCATTCTTTGCCCCACTGTCTCCCCAGGAGGCTGCACTCTGTGGGCTGTTTCCCCAGGCGCCCTCGCTCTCTGGCTTCCAGGTGGCTTCAGCCCAAGGCAGGTACTGTCGGGGACTCCAAGGTGGGAGGAGAGACAGGCAGGGTGTTGACTTGCTCCTGGGGCCACTCCTACCTGGCTCGCAGGGGTGCTGCCCTGGCTTCCTTCTACAGCTCCACCTCCTGACCTGGTCTGAGGCAGCCCCTCTTCCACGTCTCTAAGCTCTGGTGGGGCCGGTGGAGTGACACTGGTCTGTTCCCTTGCCCTTTCAGGGGTGGCCATGGCTTCCTGCTGCTGCTAATCTCTGGACACTTCACCAAGCCCTTCTGGTTCCCTCAACTCCGCCCACACCTCTGTCAACAGTCCTACGCTAAGCTCTCCTATGTAAGCACTTTGAGAGCGCTGTTGTGAAGAATAAATGACATAGAACAGAGTCTGGCACCTGGTAGGCACTCACTAAATGTCAGCTATTATGATGATTTCTTCCCTTCAGATAAGTACAAAGATGGGTTTTAAAATTTAACATGGGCACATACACACACACACATACACCCAGAGACAGAGGTGAGGCCACCAAGTGAGGACACAGGGGCATGTGGTCTCTATCAGAGACTGCCTGTTGTTGCCCAATGTCTGTTCTCCCCCTTCTTCCTCAGCAAGAGAACCTCCAGTTTAGGGTGAGACTCATAACTGCCAGGAAAGAAGGCTACATCTCTAACCTCCCTTGCAGCTAGGTGTCCTGTGTGACTAAGTTCTGACCAATAAGGTGTAAATGGAAGTGTTGCGTGTGACTTCCAGGAAATGCCTTTGAAGGCCTTTCTTCCTCCTTTTGCCAGAGGGAATGTGAAGAGATGGCTGGAATTCAGGCAGCCATCTTGGACCATGAGGACGAAAGCAAATGCTGAGATGGCAAAACAGAGTCCCTGACATCATGATGCATCATTACGACAAACGTGGTTTTTTTTTTTTTTGAAAAGTATATAACAGATTTCTTTTTTATTTACAATCAAGTTCTGTTGGGCAACAAAATTAAATAAATAAAAGATGTGATGAACGACTTTTATCTAAGAGAAAAAAAGCAGAAACGTTTACTTTGCTTAGGTCACTGTTATTTTAGGTTTTCTTTTTTTTCCCCTTTATTTATTTTTAATTTTTTAATTGTTTGGCTGTGCGGCATGGCATGTGGGATCTTAGTTCCCCAACCATGGATCGAACCCATGCCCCGTGCAGTGGAAGTGTGGGGTCTTAACCACTGGACCGCCAGGGAAGTCCCTATTTTAGGTTTTCTGTTGTATGTACCTGAACCTAACTGAAACTGACATAGTTCCCATTAAGCACTCCTGGTTCCCAAAATGAAGGGAATCGGATGCAGAATCTTCCCTGAGGAAGTGCTATCTGCCACAGGAACATCATTCAGAATGGATAAGCCTCCTAGGAGTTGTGATGGAGATGCCAACTGCTTGACAAAATTTCTCCTCCCCTTTCTCCATAAACACAGAGCTGCAAGCTGGTCACTGGTCAGCTAGCTCTGGACTGCATTTCCCAGCAGACCTTGCAGTTACACAAGGCCGAGGACCAAGTTCTCATCAACAGAATGTGAGACGGAGCAGTGCACACCACTTAAGGCCCAGAGCCCTTAAAACAGTGGCTGCTTCCTCCACACTTTCCCTTCCTACTTTTGTGCTAGTTGACAACCTAGATCTAGGAGATGGCACAGAAATGATGAAGAAAGATGGGACCAAGAACAATGGTGTGAAGCAAAGCTGCTAGACCACTATTACGTGAGAGGGAAATAAAATCCCTTTGTCCTTTAAAAGTCACATTATTGTCCCTCCTTACAGCTTAGTCTAGCCTATTAACTAACGTGTGCAAGAGTTACTCCCTCACTGAAAAAATTCCCCAAGGGAATCTACCTGGCATTATTTCACTCCCTCCTCCCTTTGGCTGGTATGCAAGGCCTGTCATTTACCACCCAGCCTTCATTCCCCTTCTTTCTAGCAAAAGTGCCTCTAAATTTCATTTCAAAAGCTACTGATTCCCCATTTTACCATGCAATTTGGGTGGAATGGGCCCCTCCCCTGCTCCATGGATGGTCCTTAAGTTGTTCAAGCCAATGGGCACATAAAACAATAGGAGTCAATGTTTGCTGGAGCTTCTGAGGAAGAGTTGCTTCCTTATACTTCTGCAACAGCTATTGGGTCTTTCCTTGAAAAGTACGGGATGACAGTTCAAGATCTGGAACAGCTACAACCATTTTACAAATGTGAGGGGCAGAACCTAGACCTGCCAAGGGGCTTCCATGTGAATGAAGGCAGGGCAGAGAAACAGAGGAAAACAGGGCCTCACTGACATCACTTAAGCCACTGTTTCAGGCCGCACCTGAAACCAGCCATATAACCCAAAACATCAGCTTAAGCTGATGTGAATGGCAACAAAGTGGTTCCCCATAGAGCAGAACACAACCCGGAGCTTAGCACTTCCCCCTCCTTATTCATACCCCCAAAGGCTGGGGGAAACCTGCCTTCCTCTTCAAAGGGGCTTCTTCTGGTTGGTAATCTAGGCTGGATAGCAAGGACCCATCACCAAAACTCTACCTGCCTATTAGTTCCCTGGCATCTGGAAATTTTACCTCCTCCAAAAAAGCAGTTACTTATTCTATTCCATTAGTCCCGATGCCAACATACAATGGCTCTGTTTGTCCCTGATTGGCAAGGCTCATTATGTTCATACACATACACGCATTATGTTCTTCTCCCTGTGGTCCCAGCCAGAAGCACCAGCTTTTGTAAGACCTCTGACCCCCGCACTCCCCCTTGGGTTACTAGCCTTACCTAGGCAGGGACTTCTGCCATCGACCCCCTTCTCATACAGAGCCTGGCCACCTGAATTTTAATGAAAACCCTTCTTCTCTGGACCTGCTGTTTCTCCTCTTCCCCATCCATCCCCGCCACACACACACACTTTCCATCTCTTCAGGGTACTTCCCTGACACTGTGAGATAGAAAAGACACCAGAACCACAGAAAAGGTGGAAAAGATGTACTTTTGTGTCCCATGTTTGCAACTGATCAGCTGTGGGACCTGGACAGATGACTCCTGTTCACTGACCAGTCACCCCGCCTACAGAATGGGGATAAAAATCACCTTTCCTAACAGCTATTTCACAGAGCACTTTCAAATTAATGTAAGTAACAGCACTCTGCAGTGATATGAAATAAGTGGAAGAGATTACTCATCAGAAAAATCTACCTGCCTCCTATAAGTTCTTAACCTTTAAGGCATCAGTCCATCCCTATGTCCCCTGTTACAAAATATTCCCATGGAAGCTGCCAGAGAGCCCAGGATTTCTTCCTGTCTCTTACATTTCCTTTCTCAACAAATCAAAGAACTTGTGGTTGGTTGGGTGTGACGGGTCTCTGGGACAATATGCCTGGGGGCTCACTCAGCGTGGAATGATGTCCTTCCATTGTCCTTGACCTTGCCCAAGTGCTTAGGGTTTAACCCACAGAAGCAACCTGTAACACGAGCTGCATTTGTGTGGTGCACACGGCCCGTGATTCCTGTTACACAGGATCAAAATGAGCTCTCCTCAACGAACACAGTAAATCAAATACCTTCTTTCAGAATTAAAGCTTTAGCTAAGCCTCTATCTTATCTTTTACCCTGAACCAAATCGGGACACTGCTTTGGAAACGCTGACCTGTTTCATGGGTTACCTGCCAAAACCTTCCGGAGAGTATCCACCATTAAAGATCCTGAAATGTGTTGGGAAAGATAGCCCAGAAGAAAAGGGCTTGCCTTTCATTGGCAAGGAGGACAGGTAATCAAATCAGAACAAAGGCATCATGGCTGGCCCGCTTGATGCCAGGAATCCAGGGATCTTGGTCCAAGTTAATAAAGAAACTAATAATAATTAAAATCATTTAAAACAGAGCCAGTAAAGTCTGTGGGCCAAGCCTGAAGGTTCTTTTGTTTCCCCCTGGATTAGCTATCACTGTGCAGTGTGTGGGCATCTTGCCCCACCTCTACCACCAGTTAGCTAACTGGACACCACAGGCAACTCACCTACATTCTTCAGGGAATAAGCATTTAGGTTAAACACAACAGCATGAGTAATACACAGAACAAAGTACAGCTGGCACACAGTAGGGGTTCAAAAATATTGTGCTTTCCTCCTGTTCTCCTAACCTCAACTTAGGCCAAGATTGTAGGTGAAATTCACATCCTTGGCTCTACACTCAGAAAAATGATTCTCAGGTACAGACAAACTTACCTGATGATTCTTATATAAATATACCAGTGTGGTAAGTGAGGTTGCTTCTGGGGGGAAAAAAGAAAGCTGTTAACCCCCTGAATTCCACAATAATATACGAGTAATATAAACTTATTATGTAGACCAGTGGTGCCCAAACTGTGGTTCCTCAACCAACAGCATCACCATCACCCGGGAAATCCTTAGAAATGCAAATGCCTGGGTCTCCCCTGAGACCCAGTGAATCAGAAACTCCAGGGGTGGATCCAGTGATCCCTGTTAAGCTCTCCAAGTGGTCCTGAGGAACACTTAGGTTTGAGAAGCACCAGTGAAGACGAATCCTCCAAAGAAAATGAAAAAGCTAAACTCAGGCAGGAAAGAGTTATCACTGAA